CTAGCTTCGACCAGCTGTAGAGACCTGAGAAGGATAATGATTACAAGTTGGGGATTATCTCGTGGATACCTGTTAAAAGATCCGTTATGTGGTTTTTGACATTACCAGCGAATAATAAGGATGTGAATTTCAGCAGGTTTCACAAATATCTTACTATTAACCACACGTAATGGACAGTTTTGCTTCGTTCTAATTTGAGACGTCTAAGCAGTGTGCACCCATGACTTTTCTAAATATCTTTCTACCTTCATAAAAAATGATTAATTTTAGTTGTGAACAGCAGCTTAAACCGAAATCTTGTGTATATTCAAATTCATCCATGAGGTACATCTAAAATCTTTAGGGGAATTCCTGTTCCCTCTGCGATTTGAAAGCAGAATAAATCAGAAACAAAAATTGGAGAGTATTTACTGGGTGTGGAATCAAAGTAGAAGACATGATTCCAAATAATTATTTCCAATGTCTAACTACAAAAAAGAAAGTTGTCACTTGATACCACTGTAGAAGTTTAATTTGAAATCATGCTTCGTCCTCCATAGATCATCAGTAGCATATACTTCCTTCTCACTTAAGATGAAGGTTATTAGTAATTAACAGAAATGTTACTGAATAAATTATATGAAGAGTGCCAAGTAAAGAGAAAACTAAGGTCATTATTGGATTCCTGGGTCGACTGTCTTCTAAGTGAACTACATAACCCAAGTGTCAGCAAATTGCCAGTTTCCTTGTCATCTAATCACGTTTTTGTCCGATCAAACGATGTGTAATTCTTTGTGGATCATTGAAAATGATCGAATCAAATAGAAACGAAAGTTTACTATTGTTCATTTTAAAGACGTCTAAGAGGTCAGTCTCTAGCCCAAATAGCTCAGTAGTGACATCTCTGATTTGAATTTCAGAGGTGACGTCACTCCGTCGAGTGTTGCGAGTACATCTTACTGACGAATGACAGTAGGCACGAAACCCAGGTCCATGGCTTCCTGGACTAGCCACCTAATATCAACTAAGAGTGCATCTAAGTTGCTGACTACAATACGAATTTAACGAAGAGAATTTTTTTTCCTTCACGTTCCCCAGTGGAACATAGGGCTTCTAGCTAATAGCTTGAGGTTTCTGTAGCAGTGTTTATTTTACAGGATGGGGTTGCTAGCCTCATACCTAACCTTTCCTCTTCACCAGCTTTATTTCTGGCTTAGCGAGGTGAAGGAGTGCATCGGCCGGGGATCGAACCCCGGACCATGTGCATGGTCGGCGAGTGTCCTAACCACTATGCCACCGACGCACTAGTATTTGTTAAATAATTGGAGGCATTCTGTAAGAAGCCCTTTCTGACCTAGGCATCTGCAATCTCTTGAAGGAATTCATGCCCGTTATGGGATTCTAGCCTACATCGCCCAATGGTGCACCCAGAGACGTCATGACTGAGATGTTTTGGATCACCATTAACTTCCTGTAGGACTGTATTAGATGTATTTACTGGTCACTACGTTATAATCCAGTCTATGGCTTTCTGGCGATTGTCTCCAATTCTCTTGTAACAACAATTCAGATTGCATCCCAACGGTTACCCACCTAGTTTGGTGAGACCACGTTGCAAACTTGACTGATAGAATTCAGTCGATGCCAACAATGAAGGCGAAAATCACGATACTGGTTACTCTCTGATGACCGATCAATGTATACTCACATTCGGTCGTACCAGGTATTTTTCTGAAGTATGGGTAAATTTATTTGATGAATTCATTCACATAACCACGTCCGCATAAGTGTTCAAAAACTAAAATCCTATTACTAAAGAAAGTTAAATGAAGCTGTTAATTCTCATGACGAAATTGATGATAATAATACAGAAATCAACCATCGCCTCCCCCGACGGGCATTACTAGCTGATATAGGTGAAGGTTGGAAAAGAGTAAGTGGTGGCCAAACAAAAACATGGCCTCATCAATCCATGAAATCCCTGACAGTTAAACTGAGTCAGGTAGGGAGATGCAGACTTCCGGGTTGGGGCTTGCCTTCGGGACTCTAAGAATCATTGGCTGGAGACAATAGGTGACATGGCTCAAAATCGTAGTCAATGGCTTACGCAGATGTATTCAGTCTCTGTAATCTTTCATATTCCTTTCTACCATTACTCATTCTGTTTCACTCCTATACTTGTCAAAACTCTATTGATTCTCTTCACTCATTTTCTTGTCTACCTTTGTGTGCTATTTGGAACGTGGCAACTGGAACTGCTGCACTTCGGTGCCAAGTTCTATGTTAAATCCAGACAGAATATAGAAATCAAGTCCATCGTTAAGTAATCCTGGACTAATTCCTTCCTCTGATTTATCCTGGTCTTCCCATGTCTTAGCGATTTCTAAGAAATATTTCGTCCGACCTTTTACATTAAGAAGTTAAGGCACTCAGGCGTAACTCAACGCCTCTTCTTACAATTTGTCAACTCGTGCATCTTATCTACTCTTCTTTATTTTTCACCCTTATTTCTTCCTGGGCTGCTTGAGAAAGACTATGTCATACTTCGTAGGATTCTGAAGACTTTCAGTAAGGCCAGTGGTGGTTTCTCATTGAATAATATCGTTGATATCATCATTGATAGGCACTTGATTTTATGCAATAAATTTTTCTAGGGGAATTTTGTTAGACTGTGAGCATTCACTTTACTGGCACCTTTCACACTGTTTCTACTCAGGTAAAACAAGAAGTCATTTCAAAAAAACTTTACATGCGCATGTTTAAGTCAAAAAATTCCATGATACCATATTTGGCACGTATGTTTTGTCCTGAAAATAGTGTCAGGGTTGAGATAACTAGCCTTCTTACCACTAGTAAATAAACAGTTTCCTACAGCCTTATTCCACCAAGCTTTACTGTTATTATTCATCTTATATTTACAATCCTGTCACATTTTTGGTTATTTTCTCATCAGGGTAAACATCATTTAGGCTATGTGATAATTGTTCTTTGTTTTGTTTTTCCCTTAACCATACTATATCAAGAGAACATTAGATTCAATACTCTATAACATGCTAAAATTTCCATACTGTATCAACAGTACTGTTTGAAACAAATCCACTGTTATTATTACCATTATTCTCATTTTCTACTTTGCATATTTTTGACATTATTCCTACTGTAAATGTGGGCGAATTCCTGTGGTTAATTTTGTTTATATTTTGAGTAAATTAGATGCAATGCTGGGACAAATGCTTGGAACTCCATTCTGTATTATAAATACTGTTTTTAAAAAAAAAGCTTATTATTATTACTTCAAAAAGTTGGATTATTTCCTGCAAGACTAGAGTTTTTTATTATCTTTAATGCAATATTATATTTGTTCTCATTTACTGACATAATCATATCTCGCATATTATACTACTGATTTATATCAGTAGTAAGAAATCACTCATACTACTAGGTGGGTAGCTGATGAGTTTAACCTCGAAATGGCAGGTACAGTCGTCCAGTGTTTTGGGTGCTTTTTATCTGGCTATCGAATACTACTCATAATAATCAGTAGTATATGTGTATCATGGAATCAAATGAAAGCATATTTTATGATCTGAATATTTTTTCATTTCTTTTTCCAAAAGAAACTATGGTCATAATTCGGGGATATTCGACTTATTTTCCAAGCAATAGATGTGCGTATACATTCACACATGGTTAACACCTTAAATGCACACTTATTAGGGATTGTTTCAAACTGTCACTCCTCAAATGGACACCTCAAACACACAAAGAATTGTGAAGAAAATAAGAAATGTAGAAATGAATTTGCGAATATTAACAGAAGGCCATAAGACAGAACAAAAGAAGTTGAGGCACGTCTGTCTAGGATCTCTAAACACCAGTTTTTGTTATCTCAAGGATGTCAGATCAACAGTTAGCGACTTCATGGATCATAAATTCATTAATTATTTTTTTTTTCGATTATTGGTTTTTTATAAGGATTTTGTTTGATTGGTTAGAAGATTTCACCATGAGCTGACATCAGTTAGAGAACCATTGGAAAACCAGCTGTCTCGCTGGCCTAGTTTGGGACTCTTCAGTAGTACGCACCCAATTCCAGGGTTCGAACCCAAGACCGTCTGGTTTCAAGGCGAGTTCGTGGGCCATGAATTCTAACTTCTGCCAATTCGTGACATAGCTCGACCACTTCATAATGTCTTCTTCGACGAGTTACTGCCTCATCTTCAACATGCCGCACCCTACTGGTCATGGCTTCCCACTAAAACCCCAGGTCACTGCCTGAATAGGGCCAGTCGCTAATGTTTTATTTCGACTCTCCCGCGGCAACCCAAGAAAAAACCAGGATATTTATGTAGATAGTGGATATAAACGAGTTTCTTTTTAAATTTCGTTGACTTACTGACTTTTTGCTTATGTAAGAATTTACACTTAACCTAAATGTGCACGGATCACATCATTTGATACAAACAAACACGACTTATGGTGTGAAAGCGGCGATGGTTTGGTTTTTCGAACTTGTGCAAGCATAATCATAGGTGGCCTTAAGGATTCAGTATGGCTAAATCGACAAGTGCGAATACTCTACACATCAAGTCCAAAGAGATAAGTAATCCCCCTTGTGAGACAATAAAATTAAGATTATAATGGACTGAACAGTCTTATGCATGGAACAATATATATACATTAAGATCTCTTTCCTATTCCACTTTGATTTTGCATTGGTTGATAGTCCCTCACGCCTAACCTTCTCTCTTTTCCCACCTTATTTAAAATTGCCTAGCAAGATAGCTTAGGTTTAAGAAGAAGTTAGTCGACCCCGGATTTGAACGCTAACCTTACCTCATATCCCACAAACATTAAATCATCGTGAATATTACTCCAGGGGATTGATGAACCTAATTTTTCTAACTCTGATCCTTTTTCATCCAGCCGAAAAGCTGGTATTTTAAATAAAGAATTCACTGGTAATAACAACAACCAAAAATGAGCATAAAAGCATTCGACAGGGGAAGTATAAAACTTACCACTGTTACTATTATTGTTGTTATGATTATTAGAGCTACGTATTTTATGATTCGTATTACTATTGCTACTACTACTATTATTATTGTTAGTAGTAGTAGTCGCAGCACTAGCGTTATTATTATTACTACTATTATTACTACCACTGCCCATATCCATACTATTCAAACTTGTTTTACTTCCACGTTTGGATGAATGCTGTGAGTTCAGATTACTCGTCTCCATTGGCTGATGATGTTGACGTTGATAAGAGGAGTGTTGCTGAGAGTGAGGTTGTTGAAATGATTCACTATCGCTTAAATTTGATCTCTCTGTATATGCAGATAAAGAAGTTGGTACTGATGTCGCCGATACTACCATTGATGATGATGATGATGGGGACACTGAGCAGGATGTCATTGGTGTTGGCGTTGCACTTGAAGATATAAACAAACACGGATTAATTGTTGCATCGATTCCCTCCAATTTCAAATGATGATCTGATTTTAGTAAAATATCATAAGCTGGATTACAGTTGTTTATACTCTCAGATATCATATTAGTGCTGTATATTTTATTCCCTGTAGAATTCATATTATCACTAGTATTATACTCATATTGAACATTGAATCTGTTAAATATATTGAGGATTGTTCCATTATGGCTGTTGTTGTTGCTGTTGTCGATGCTGGTGTTGGCGTTGCTGTCGTTGCTATTGGTGTTGAAGTGTTCACTGTTGTTAAATGCTCAATAGGCATTGCTCCTGTGGTTGTAATTGTTGTTTTACTCGTCACTGTTGTATTTACAAGTTTATTCTTATGCATACTGTAAGTAATTTCGTCTGGTTTAAGTTGTAGATCCGATGAAAAAGAACAGTTGTCGTCATTTTCATCAACTGTAACAGCATCAAGAAGATAGTCATCCATACTACTATCACTTCTACTGATGCTAGTATTAGTAGTAGCAGTAGCAGTAACAGTCGTCTCAGTTGTAGTCAGTGAGTTGTATTCAATATCACAGTTTAATATTTCAGTCGAGTTAAGATGAGGATGCGGATTCTCTGTTGAAGATAACGATGATATTGTGCATAATTCTATTGTCATAATTTCTTATTAATACTGTTGAGATATTCACGCCGATTCATTTATGTACATATATATATATCATAGCCATATTTTTGAAGATAATTCTTATTGTCCCTGCGAATAATTCTCCAATATTCCTGAGTTAGATCTCTTTGGGCAGTATGCGTTGCTTATCGGACAGAAAGTGTATGTGAAAGGAATTTTTATAGCCTTTTTCGTATTTACTTAATAATAATGATAATTTATGTACACAGTCAAAGAAAGGTTAAGATACTGGTTGGATGAACTCATTTGAATAGGCAATCTATATTATATATACTTAGAGGCAATCAATTCTAACCGATAGATGTAACGACACTAATTTTGTTATTTTGTTTGTTTGCTTGCCTGCCTGTATACACACACTGAGAAGAGGGGAATAATAAATATCGATCTACAGGCTTCATTTTTTCTCCCAACTTCTTCCTGTTTCAATTTAACACTTACTCTCCCTAATGTGCGTAGGTGTGTGTGTGTGTGTCTGATGGAGTGGATGATTGAGACAAGGATACATGGAGGGAGGGAGAGAGGAAGCAGAGAAGAGGCAGCAAATAACTACGCCTTCCCCCATAGAGTAATACTCAACGAATCGACCAATAAACTAGGAGATTATTGATAAATACAAGCAATAGAATGAATGAAGAGATGGAGTAGAGTAGGAATTGTAGGCGTAGAGCTGGGATTAGGTTGATAGACAAACTAGCAGGCGCAAGACACAAGCACACACATACACACACTGCTTTCAGACCTCCTCCTGCCTACATATTATTGCCTAAAGAGTTAAAACAGCCACATTCATAGTTAGATAGAACAGACTCAACATTCTTGCAACTTTGAGTCAATAATATGGAATTTAGATTAAAAACACTCTCTAAATTTCTATTGGGTTTCTTTTTTCCTACAGAATAGGGTGTATCTCAGCAACGTATAGATATTGTTGTTAGCCAATCAATCATATTGAAAGAGAAAAATGTAACTGGTCGCCTGTCTGTTTCTGTTTCTGTTCGTCTATCCATCTCTCTCTCTACTCTTTTACGGTCTGCTGATCGACTGACTAACTGACTGAATAAAGTAAACAGAAGGACAGGAGATGATTTAATCAGCATAAAAAGGGAGTTTAAAAACTTGTGTAACACATGAATTGTGTTGCCACACCTATCTTAAACTAACATACAACAGAACTCACGAGGCGTTATATATATACATATATATATATACATGAGATTGTATCCTTGATCTCATATTCTATAAATATATTTGGATGATTTAAGATTTAGAAATCGATTTTTGGATAACAATTGATTTATCGCGAAAGCAAATGCCTTAAAAGTTGACTGACAATAGAAAATAGCATTTCTATTCCCTATGAAAAAAATTTCCTTTTTCTATCTCTAGGTCAATCCATTCACTTCTATTGATAGATAGTATCTTATACAGTGGATAACAAATGTATACGTTGTTTCTTTAGAAAAAAAATGGCTACTGCCTCTGAAAAAACACAATAATAAATGCAATTACAATTCATGCTACTGAAATAGACAAATCAGTAGTAACCTTCTATCCGTTGAAATTTTGTTCAATATTTTTATGGAAATGAATGTCCCTGAATCTAATTTGCATCAGCTCTGTCTGACTGGGATGCACTAGGGCGCAGTAAAACTTTTAGCGCTGAAGAGGCGCGAACATACCAAATCATCTCGTAACACTCAGTGTGAAACCAAGTAAATGACACCATATTCATGGAAAACATTTACTCAATGAAGTATTATGGTATTTAAGCAGTGTATGTGGTAATTTTTCGGTTAGGTTTTGGCTAGGGACAGGTTAGGGTTACATTAACTTAACTCACACAAAATCGAAGACTTACAAGCGAAAACCGACAAACTGGTCGAAGAGGCTGGCAGCAAAGACAGGACTCCAGGTGAACATAGGCAAGATAGAGGTTATGGAAATAACCAACCAACAACAACAACAGCAGCAACATCCACCACCAATCACCATCAACGGGAGGGATTTGAAAGAGGTTACTTCTTTCACTTACCTAGGGAGCATTGTCTCAACTCAAGGAGGAACAGACGAGGATGTCAAATCGAGAATCGGGAAGGCGAGAAACACATTCATCAACCTGAAACCAATCTGCAAATCTTCGTCACTCAGCAACAACAACAACAACAAAATTCGGATTTTCAATACAAACGTCAAGTCAATCAGTTCTTCTATACGGAACAGAAACTTGGCAGGTCACAAAGAATATTTCCAACAGCCTGTTGCAGACCTTTATCAACAGCTGTCTTCGCTCTATACTGAAGATCAGATGGCCGGTCGGAAAGAATCACCAACAAGAAACTATGGGAACAAACAAAGCAAGAGCCAATCACCCAACAAATATGCAGGAGAAATTGTAGATGGATTGGACACTCGCTGTGGAGGCCGTTGGGTGACATCGCACGTCAGGCCATAGCTCGAGTGGAACCCGAAAGGGAAGAGGCGAGTGGGACGTCCAAGGGTGACATGGAGGAGATCGTGCGAAGAGGAGCTGAAACAGTATGGACTAACATGGATGCAAGTGAAACGTATATCAGAAGACAGAAGCAAGTGGAGGTGCGCAGTTGAAGCCCTATGTTCCACTAGGAACCCAAGGGAACAATAATAATAATAAGAGATTAGGGGGATAAATTTCCAGACCATAGATGCTACGAATTCACAGGAATAATTTGGGCGCCAAGCTATATGAATCATTATAAATTATTTAAAATAATCCCAGTGCGTTTCAGATAAAAATCAAAACAAGATTTTTACGAACGTCTCACTGTGTAAGCCACAGCTTCTTCTTCTTCAGCAGATTTATTCGAATTTTACCAATCAACATCAAAATATATACTCAATAATTACATAAACTGAAGTGGTTTCCTTTCATGGTCACTTGTCGATAGATATTTGAACCAATAGATAAATGTAAACAGTCATTGCTTATTTGTAATGATTAGTGTTCAGTTGTTCAGGACGAGAAGTAAAAATCTAAAATTGAAAGATCTTGGGTATCGACGATAGCTATTCCATGTCGAAAGTTTATTTCAAGTCCTCTAATTCTTTCGAAGAAAACTTTAGTGAATGTTAAAGATATATTTCCCGAAATGGCACAAAACAACTAAGTCTATAGGATCAAGTGTTCAAAATATGAAGCTTTCTAAATAGAGGAAAGCAGTAGACATGTGAAGGTCAGAGTGAATGAACACAGGATGTACACACGAAACATTCGCCTAGAAATGAGGTAGAATTAAGGAGTATAGAAAGAAGACCAGAGGACATAAGATTGATTTCGACAATGTCGAATTCCTAGGAAGAGGCTTTCATTCACGTAAAGAAAGGCTGACCTCTGAAGTCTTGCATATTTTAACAGCATCGAATGCAGTGAAAGAGAGAGAGAAGAGATAGGCTTATCACCTATATGGCAAACTCTAATGAAGCGAAACAGATAAGGAAAAAAATATTCAATCGTATATTATTATTGTTTTTCTTTCCTTCACGTTCCCAATGAAACATAGGGCTTCAAGATAGAGGCTTGAAGTTTCGGTAGCAGTGTTTATTTTTACAGGATAAGGCGGCTAGCCTCATGCCCAACCTCTCCTCTTTACCAGTTTTATCGAGGTAAAGGAGTGCGTCGACCAGGGATCGAACCCCGGACCATGTGTACGGTCGGCGAGCGTTCTAACCAACGTCATCCTATATTATGACCACTGTAAAATACTATCATGTTTTGATGTGTTTTTCACACAAGAAACAACATGCGCATGCACTCATAAAGACAGATATGTATATGTGACAATTTGAAATTATCAAGTATTGGTTTTGTAGGGATTTTGTTTGATTGGTTGGAGGATTTCATCATGAGCTGACATCAGTTAGAGAACCATTGGAAAATCTGGGAGTACTGGACAGCTGTTTCGCTGGCCTAGTTTGGGACTCTTCATCAGCACGCTGGATCGTGTCCCAGTGGCTCAATGGTCTACGAGCTCACTCGTTTGTAACCAGAAGGTCCTGGGTTTGAGTCCCGGTGGGTACGTACTGCTGAGGAGTCCCAAACTAGGCTAGGGAAACAGCTTTCCAGTACCCCTGGTGGTTTTCTAATGATTCTCCACCTGATGTCAGCTCATGATGAAATCCTCCATGCAATTTGATATTAATCATTACAAATAAGCAACGACTGTTTACATTTATCTATTGGTTCAAATATCTATCGACAAGTGACCATGAAAGGAAACCACTTCAGTTTATGTAATTATTGAGTATATATTTTGATGTTGATTGGTAAAATTCGAATAAATCTGCTGAAGAAGAAGAAGCTGTGGCTTACACAGTGAGACGTTCGTAAAAATCTTGTTTTGATTTTTATCTGAAACGCACTGGGATTATTTTAAATAATTTATAACACATTACTATTAGATAAAGGTTAGAGTTATGGTAAGGAGGCCAAATTTACCTTTCACTCCTATGACTGTTTCCTTGTGATCGTGTATTCTTGGTGCCTGAGGTTTAGCCTCTCCGAAACTAGCGTTTTGTGCTATATACCGTCTAATTAACGTCAGCTTCATAATGCCTGATTGAAATAGCAATAGTCATAAGTAGAGAGGTAAGTTAGTTTAATAATCCTCTCCCGTCATGGATACATCTAACTGAATACTAGGCTATTCAGAGTATTTTGTAGTAATGACTGAGTTGATTGAAATTCTTATTGTGAATCGTTATAAATTGTGTGAACTTTTTCATTTTTAGGGCTAATTTGTAACATCTACAGTGTTGTCAATATTAGTGTGTCAACAGAAAAAGGATAGAAAATATTTATAGTGACAGCTGACAAGTCCCAAATAGGGCGAAATGCGCATCTCGATGGATTCTATTGAGATAGTCACCATCCACCAGTTTGCTTCACGAAACACAAACATACTTTTATCACACGGATGACGAATAACTGACAGGAGCTTTAAATAACTTAAGTCCAGCTAAGAACAAATCAGTGTAAGCAGATAGGGACAGTAGGGAACCTTGCAGTATCTCGGTGATTAAACTTAGAGTAAAATACTCACACAATTTCTACTACATCATGTATTCTTCTGTATCCTTTGTTCTACTCTGAAGATTTGATTTTCTTCATCTGAAAATCATTCACCTTACTCCGTCTTTGCTATGTCATCAAAAAGTACTTCCATCAGTGACATAACCTATTTTATTGATATACTCTTTATAGTTCAACTGTGTTTCTACCCATTACATTTTTTAACTCGGTCTATTTTCAGAAATATT